AATATATATTTTAAAGATAACTTTTGTATATTAGTATTTAGTACATAAGCTAATTTGACAAAGTTAAGGGGACCAATGTGATAGGTTTATGATGGTCTACTAATATTCATCATTAGATTATTTTGTATTATTGGATTTGAACATTAAACTTCGTTTAATGACATTTTGCAGGTTCTCCGTGTTGTTTCATGTTCCGTTTCGTCTTTTAATTCCAAACTCTCTCCCTCACTTCCTTCGAATAAATCACCTATCTCACTTTCCCACCTTAAGCTTTGTCATCTAATTTTAGATTTTGAAGAAGTTTATATCATTTTCTTCTTCTTATTTTTTCTAAATAGAATCCCTTTTTTTTTAAAATGATCTTGACTTTATGAGAACTAGAATTCATTACCTCCGTTATAAGTTTCATTAATTTAAAATCATTAAGCCTCTTAAACTTTTAAATAATAACTTAAATGCTACATCATTATTATTATATAATTTAAAATTATTAAATAAATAAATATATATATATATATAATATTTTTTAATAAAATAATTATATTTATTGGATAAAAATATATTGAATAATATATTTATATTTATCAGACAGGAAAATTAATAAAAACATGAAAACAAATAATATAATATTATTATATATTATTTAATATAATAAATGATATAATTTTTATGATATTAAAATACATAATAACATTACTGGTTATAAATATAAATAAGTTTAAATATGTTTTTAATTCCTTAAATTTAGAGTAAGTTTATTTTTTATCCCTCAAATTTAAAACTATTGTTTTTAATCTTGTAATTTTTAAAAATCTTATTTTGATCTTTCAAGTTATTAATAATATATCTGAAAATGACAAATAGAGATAGTTGTGCATCATCATTTGAGTTTAATGTGATATTTTTATTAACGTTAAATTTTATGCAACAGTATTTGTAGATTTCTTGAAAAAATTTGAGTATAAAAATTAAAACAAAATTTTTAAAATTATAAAATTAAAAAAATCATTTTTAAATTTAAGAGATTAAAAATAAATTTATATTAAATTTGAGATACTAAAATTATATTTAAGCCATCTAAATATTATAACCAATAATGTTATGCAAGCAAGCTTAACAACCTCCCCTTATAAAAGTAACAAAACACGAACCCTATTAACCTGTCCGTTCCTAATTAGGTTGTAGTGATTTTTTTTTGTCTAGACTTTATTCAGTTCCAGTGCGTTAAATTGTAGGTTATTTTGTTACTTTTGAAAGTTTTTTCTTCTCCCAAGCCAAAATGCTCTTAGTTATTGTTTTCTTGTTCCTAATTAAGTATTGTTTTCTTGTTTTTTTGACTTTTGTAAAGGAAGATGGTTAGCTTACTTTTATGACATTACTAGTTATCTAAATAAGATGTTACTTTATTTCTTGTTAACTTAATTTCTTGAAATAGAAGGTTATTTAAACAAGTCTCTTAACCTAGTAATTTTAATGAAATTGATTTCGTATTCTCATATTGTTAATGAAAATCACACCTAATAAAACATATTTATTTATTTATCCATAAATATGATTCATGCATTATTGCAATTAAAAAAGCAATTCCAAAGGCGTAATTGAATTTGAAGATGAAAGATTGTCATTTACACTCATGAGTGCATGCGTTTGACAACACCAAGCTGAAACTCACTTGGTGAAAATTAAATAAATGACAAATATGTGACACTTTAATTTTTGATGGATTAATTTTATGAAGAAAAAAAATTATGGAACTAATTTAATAAGACCTTAATATTTAGAAGATCAAATTGAAAATTTATTCTAATAATTAGAAGCAGCAATACGATGTTTTCTTATTAAAAAAAACGATGTTTTCTTTAAAATATGAAAACATACGAGTTAAATGAACTACGTGTAACAGCAAAAAGAAAAAAAGCAAGTACGTGTAATAAAGAGGTGTATTAAACGGAAGGCGTGGAGTTCTGGAAACGAATGAATGGGGTGGCCAATAGTGAAATCCATGCCATAAATCTTATCTGTATCCCGTGATAAGAAAAACACATAAGCAATCAACATATAGAAAGTTTGTTTTACGTAACCAAAAACAGCAAATAATTGTTAGATTCCAAAAACGACGATGTTGTTGGTTGTCCTATGAAACGAAATCCTGACCAGCTATTTATGCGTGAAAATTTGTGGAAATAGATAGAAAAAATCTTATTTGTGAGTCAATCTCCCTCACCAATTTCCCTTACATTCCCTAAAGGGGTTTTCCTCAGCAAAACTCATAGGGAATGCCTCTTTCACACGATATGAGGATCACTTTTTGGGTATGCATGTGATGACACGTTCAATAACTTGTTTTCTTTCTAGTTTTGGCATCAATAACTTGTTTGTTTCTGATTGACGTAAGAAAAAGTCTTTGAAAACCATTATTATATCAGAACAGAAAAGCGGCAGATAGGAATTCATTTTAATGCAAAATGAACGTTAAAAGGTTCTATACCTACAAGATGTTGATATTTTGATTGACATTGACACGTTGACAGGAACCGAATAAAATGTTCAGAAGCTTGTTTCTGGTTTCCTTGTTGCTTCATACAATAGTTGCCCAAAAACATGCAGCTAAAGTCCCTGCCCAAAGATGGTCAACATTGAGTGGTTGGTATCCATAGGATGATAGGACTTTGTTTCTCTAACTTGCTTCCTTGTGAAGCTTTCTCATTGTTCTGTTAATGTTTCAATGTTGTGTGATTCTTATTCTTGCAGGAAATGAGCCTCTTGTAATAACCCGTGGTGGCTTTTCGGGACTCTTCCCAGAAGGCACTCCAGATGCAATTGCGCTAGCACAAGATTTAAGCATTATTCTGTGCAATCTTCAGTTGACAAAAGATGGTGGTGCATTTTGTGTCACGGGCAATACGCTTGACAATTCAACTACTATAGAAACGCTCGATCCTAAGGAAAAATCCTACAAAATGAATGGGAAGGACGTGCATGGACACTTTTCTGTGGATTTCACAAGTGTTCAGATTGACCAGAATGTATCAAGTGAGTATCAACATACTACAGTTTTCTTCAATGCTTTTGTTCTTAGGAAACCTTAGCATAAGAACATTGTAGTGAATAACCTAGTAGTAAAACGAAAATAAATTATAGTCCGAAATAGGAGACATTCTGGTTTCTGAGTGGCAATTCTGTTAGGATTGTTAATGCATATGAACAGACTAATTCATACTTACCAGGTAACAGATTATAGCAGATAAACATTCAGAACTAGTTAGGCTTACAAGTAACCATACATAAACAGAAGAAGTATGAGCGTTGAAATTGAAGGTTTGCTCTTTGCTATGTATTCTGCAGTGACTCAAGCCATATTTTCTCGACCGGATTTTTACGATGGTTTGTACCCAGTTCTAAATGTTGATGCTCAACTAAGTGGAAAATCTCCACCAAGGTTTTGGTTGAATGTTCAGGTTCTCTCTCTCTCTCTGAATGCAGGACCTCCTTTGAAAATTGGAAATTCATAAGCACCGTGGCGCACTCCTTAATTTCTTTCTTTACTGATTTATCATTTATTAATTGCGCCTTTTGTTACAGAATGCAGAATTCTACACCCAAAACGGAGTACAAGTGGTAGAGATTGTATTAGACCTATTGAAATCTTATCAAATAGAGTTTGTTTCATCTTCAGATATTGGTTTCTTGAAGAGTATCAATGGGAAAGCAAACAAGGCAACTAAGGTCATCTTTAAACTTCTTAATGCTGATGATGTTGAACCTTCAACCAAGCAACCCTATTCTGATGTTCTGAAAGATCTTGCCTCAATCAAGCCATTTTCATCAGGCATAATGGTCGCAAAAGACTACATATGGCCACTTAAACCAGACAAATATCTAGGACCCGCTACAACACTTGTGGCTGATGCCCATAAATTAGGACTAGAAGTTTATGCTTCTGGTTTTGCTAATGATATATTTTCTAGTTATAGTTATAACTATGATCCTACCACTGAGTACCTTCACTATATAGACAATGGAGAATCTGTTGATGGTGTTGTCACTGATTTCCCTGCAACAGCATTTAATGCCATCGGTGAGATGACAAGTCTTTAACTAATATTCACAATCTTTTTCCGACTAAGCAAATCAGCTCTTCAACTTGTCTCACAATATTTTTGTTTTACAGTTTGCTTTGCACACAACAATCCCTTGCCCCAAAAAGGTACGTTACTAATCTTAAAATGTTCTCAGTCAATAACCATAGATAAGACATGGAAAACAGATTGATGACAAATCTACAACCTCATACATTTGTTTTTGTAGGACCAACTTTGATCATAAGCAACAATGGAGCCAGTGGAGTTTATCCAGGCAACACGGATCTTGCATATCAGCAAGCAATAGATGACGGCGCTGACATTATAGATTGCCCAGTTCAAATGACAAAAGATGGAATTGTCTTCTGTTCAGATTCCACAGACCTAACCGTAGCAACCACCGCAATGATTAAATTCATGTCTCGGTCTTCCAGTGTCCCAGAAATTCAACCAAAAAGTGGAGTTTTCTCCTTTGACCTTACATGGAGTGAGATTCAGTCATTAAAACGTAAATACTTCTACTATAGAACTTCAACTTCAGGTTCAACCTTTAAGATTTCAACAATGAACTTAAAGTATAAATTTCTTGTTTCAGCTCAAATGGTTGGTAAAGCAGACGGTTTGATAAGAAACCCGGCAAACAAGAGCAGTGGTAAATTTGTCACCCTCGCTGAATTTTTGGAAATAGCCAAGACTAAGGCAGCTACTGGCATTTTGATCGACATACAGGTGAGCAACATCCCTAATGCTTCTATTTGGAAAAAATAATAATAATAAAATTGCTAACTGAATTGTCCTCACAGAATGCCAACTACCTTGCATCCAAAAAGGGTCTTGACATTGTAAGCGCAGTCAGCACAGGTTTGAGCAATGCCACCTTTGACAAGCAATCCACACAACAAGTCCTGATACAATCAGATGACAGCTCGGTCCTATCCAAGTTTAAAGACATTCCATCTTACAAAAGGGTGATGAGATTCAATGATGAAACTATGGGCGATATACCAAAGCAAACGGCAGAAGAAATAAAAAAGTATGCGGATGCAGTGAATCTTCCAAAAACCACTGTTATCAAACCATATGGTTCATTGTTAGTAGGACTAACAAATAATGTGAAAGTCTTGAATGAAGCAAACATCTCGGTATACGTTCATACTATAAGAAATGAATACACAACCCTGGCATTAGACTATTGGTCAGATCCCAATATCGAGATTGCTACTTTCATCCAAACCGCTAAGGTTGATGGAATCGTGACCGATTATCCAGCCACTGCAAATAGATACATGAGTGAGTCATTCGAATTTCAGTCACTAATTATTTTTCATGAACAAAAGTTGAAACCTTTTTTATAATTTGCAGGAAATCCATGTAGTAATCCTTCAAGTAAACCTCGAATTCTACCAATTATTCCTGGTGATTTATTGAGTACTGTTCCAAGTGGATCACAACCACCAGTAGAAGCACCACTTCCTCCTCTTGAGGTTGCAGAAGTTGTTGACCCACCTCTTCCTGCTGTGACTAAAACTAAGCCTGCTGATACTGGTGCTACTGATGGTGATGGAGCTGGATCTGAATCTAAACCTGCTCACGCCTCTCCTCCCCCTTCAGGTGCCAGGGCAGATGTTGCTAACTGTGGTCTTTCCCTGGCGGCAATATTGGTGTTTGCTGTGGTTTTTACTTATT